CCATCATTATTCAAATTAGCTGGGTGGGGGCAAAAAGGGGGAGGGGGGTCTAAACATATTCATAAATCTGAAATATTCAAATCACATTTAATGGTTAATGAACCGGAACACGATTTATTTGTTAAACATTTCTTTTTTTTTTCTATGGACAGATGGTTATGCTGGTCGAAATTTGTAACATCACGTTTCTTCGTTGTTTGGGATGGTTTGGAAAAAAGAGGGTCAAATTACAAATTTTCAATTTTTTGATATTTTCTATACAAAATTTTATGGAGGACAATTTTTCGTAGAGGAAAGTTCATTGACGATGAACTTTTCTTTAGGAATAGTCATCGACGATGAGCCTCGATCAGATTTTCCATAGCAAAAGTTATCGACAGCAAATTTTTCTTTAAAGGGGGAAAAGTTTCCCCTCTTCCACCTATTTTGAAATTTTTGGATAAAGATTCTTTGGAATCCATAAATTTTAAGTATTCCCTCGCAGTTTAAAATGAGTTTTTAACCATATTATGAAAAAAGACCCATTTGGTGACTCGCTTAAGGGTTAAAATTCTTGACGATGACATTTTCCCTGTATGAATCCGTAATGTTACAGATACCAATACGAGGATTATTTCGGTCAAGAATTTTAACCCTCAAACGGATATTTTTTCCAAAAATATTGTTAAGAATATAGATTCAAATATTCTACCAATTTATTCGTCCTGAAATACTGCTATAGGTCCCAGAATACATCAATAAATCTAAATCTTATCTAGACGCCAGAAATGTATATACAGGGTGAGATAAAAAAACTGCTACAAAGTCAAACGCCATAATTTTTACATTTTTTTACAATTTTTTTGAATGAAAGCAAAAAATGTCGGAAATAGCATCAAATGTTAGAATAAGTATAGATTTATTCGAATTGTTTACCTTTGGCATGAATTATGGCCTTCAAACGACCAATGAAAGCGTCACACCCTGCCTGAATGTTGCTCTGCGGTATTTTGGCCCATTCCCGGCGAAGCGATTGCTTGAAGTGATCGACACTTTGGTATTTTTGAGTACCAACCTTGCTTTCCAAAATATTCCCGACATAATAGTGCAACGGATTGGTATCCGGAGATTTTAGAGGTCATTGTGCGCTGGAAATGAAGCGAGGGACCTCATTTTGTAACCATTCTTGCGTGGCGCGAGCTGAGTACTGGTGGCACGTCCAAGGTCTGCAGCCAAAATGTTTGCGTGCTCAAGACTTTAATACACCCTCCAGAATATTTTCGCGATAATATTCGGCATTTATTCTGATGCCACAGTCGAATAATACGAGCGTAGAGCGACTATCGGCTGTTATGGCGACCCATATTATCACCATGGCCGGTGCGTGAGTTCTGGTGGCCAACCGAAGGTGCACATTTTCAGCTGACCTGACCTCTTTGGCAAGTAAACATGATCATTTTGTTTGTTTACAAACTGCTGGACAACGAATGTTTTCTCATCAGAGAAAATCAAATTCGGCAGTTCACCACTTTCGGTCAAACGAAGCAACTCTTAAGCTCTTTTGTGTCTATTTTCTTTCGGTTGCGGTGTAAGTTCTTGCACTTTTTGGAATTCCAATGACTTTACCCCGAGCCCATTTTTCAATATTTGCCGAATGGAATATTGCGATATGTTCAGCTCACGAGTCATTTTTCGGCCACTGCGACGCGCGGTTTTCGATCAAGTCGCTTCTTTACTTTTCGAACCATTTCTGCTGATATTGCTGTTTTCTTCCGTCCACTTCCTTGACGTCGGGCTACGCTACCAATATCAGTATAGCGGTAACGAGCGATGGTACGAGACACAAAAGATTTATTCAGATTTAAATGCTGGAGTGCTCTAACGATAGCCACCTGTGGTTTTCCAGCCAAATATAAAGAAATTCTGGAAAATTCTCCCAAAGATGCTCTGGTACGCTTGTAAACAATATAATGAGCTGTCACTGGAATAATTTTAACTGCTGTCGGACGAGTTGCTTAGAAATCACAGCAATCTGAAAATGGTTGCAGTTTTTCCATCCCAACCTCTAATGTGGTGTCCGTTGGAATTGCAATTTCGAAAAAAAAATTCGGCACAATTGAGCACAAACCTAGCACAATTCAGCACAACTTTTCTTTTTTCGAAATTCGAAAATTGCAATTCCAACGGACACCACATCAACCTGTATTCTTCACAAAATTTGACTTAAAATGTCTATACCCTTGGCCGAAAGTTGCTATTGGTGTATAAATTTTGTTGCTTTATTTCCAAGCAACATTGTTGAGATTGAAGCGACATCTAACGTAGCATAGAAAACATTACAATTGTAGATATCTCTGCTAACATTCAAAGTGAAAATACTATACACTAACAGATGTCGCTCTCGTAAAAGATGAGTGTAGAAATTATGGTGTATGGGAAGCGTTATACAATATTGTCCATTTTCTTCACTTTTTATGAGATACTTGATAATTTTTTGAAACCGAAGTTTTCCCACTTCGTCAAATACTGATAAAAATATATTGGGATGTATAAAATTTAAAGGAAATCGAAGATTTTTTTTCCAATTTTATGCGAATAATTTTTAATTCAAATTATAATTTTTTGTGGGGGCGGTAAGTGATGCAGTTGTCCGATAAATTTCATATTCACATCAGATCGCTGGCTTGTTTCGCAAGTTATAAGTGATATAAGTATTTTAACCCGTTGTGGGGGAGGTTCCCAAATATTCTATTTTCACTCCAGATCTGGTGTTAGTTTGAAAATAATCGAATGTCTATATCGCTCCATGGTTTTTCAAAATGTTGAACCCTTTATGGGGGAGGTGCCAAAAAGAGTGGATGAGAGATATAAAATATTCAAATTTTTTGACCCGTTGTGGAGGAGGCACCAAAAGGGGTGGGCCGATATCTATCATTATCTCACCAGATCTTATGTTAGACGAAATATTGGGATGTGTGAAATTTAAAGAGTATCGGATGATTATTACACCGGAGTGGACCGACGTTGTTCATGATCACACCTGACCTAGCACCAATAAAAATTTTACAATTTGCAAAGATTGAACTGAATTTGATGATCCTATCTTGTTCCAAATTTGGACTAAATCGGATAGTCTCTTCGAGCATTAGCATTAGCCAGACAGATGGACGGACTCTATCGACTTCAAATGTTCTGAAACGGATTTGGTCCAAAGGGACCTCGGGCCTAAAACCGATATTTCGATTATGCACGTTTGGGACGCATGATATGACTATAGAGGGTATAGCCATATGGCTGAGGTAATAAATAGAAAAAAACTACTTCATTAAAAAATTACGCGCAAGTCCTTGAAAATATTTAAAAAAATCCAGGTCCTTGATAAAACAACATTGAAAAAAAATTAAATTATTGAAGAAAACCACGTGAGACTCCTTGAAAAAGTTTTAAAAAATTAAAACTATGTACTTTAATAACAATTCATTAAAAACATTCTTATAAAGTCCAAGTCCTTGAAGGAATACTTTTACCTATGACCTTGAATTTTTTTTTCAATTTTAAAGCATATTTTCTTTAAGAATTTCCAGTGCTTAAAAATTTAAATTTTTCTAAAAATAGTTGAAAATGTCAGCCTTCTTGAAAAATATGTATATCTTTAAAAAAAGTTTTTTTAATGCACATTCTTAAAAATATTAAAAAATAATTCTCGTTGGTTGTTAAAAAATATTGTGTAAATAATCTACGTGTGCTCATCCTAAAATATTCTTTAAAAAATCATATGTTTTATAATCGCAGTCCTTAAAAATCGGTTTAAAAAGTTAGCTTCATTCAAAAAATGTAATTTTTTAAAAAGGTATATTTTTTAAATGCGCCTTTCGTAAAAATATTAAAAAATGGTTCCTGTTGGTCCTTAAAAAAATATTGTTTGAAAATCAACGTCTGCTGGTCCTAAAAAAATCACGTCTGCGAGACCTTGAAAAATATTCTATGATTTTTTTTATAATCGCAGTCTTTAAAAATCGGTCTTTTTAGACCAGCTTCCTTCCTCTTTTAGATCAGCTTCCTTAAAAAAGGTATATTCATAAAAAATATTTTTCTAAATACCCTATCTTAAAAATATTAAATAAAAGTTTCTTGTTGGTCCTTAAAAAATATTGCTTAAATATTCCATGCCTGTTCGTCCTAAAAAAAATTATTAAAAAATAAGGTTTGCGATTCCATGATTTTTTTATAATCGCTGTCTTCAAAAATCGGTTTAAAAAGTCAGTTTCCTTCAAAAAATGTAAATTTTTAAAAAAAGTATTTTTTAAATGATCTTTCTTAAGAATATTAAAATTCTCGTTGGTCCTTAAAAAAATATTGTTTAAAAAAATTTACGTCTCTTCGTCGTAAAAAATTTTTGAAAAAATCACGTCTGTGAGCCCTTGAAAAAATATTCCATGATTTTTTTTAATCGCAGTCTTTAAAAATCTGTTTAAAAAGTCAGCTTCCTTAAAAAAGGTACATTCATAAAAAGTATTTTTTTAAATACCCTGTCTTAAAAATATTGAATAAAAGTTTCTTGTTGGTCCTTAAAAAATATTGCTTAAATATTCCAAGACCTGTTCGTCCTAAAAAAAAATATTAAAAAATAACGCTTGGGATTCCATGATTTTTTTATAATCGCAGTCTTCAAAAAATCAGTTTAAAAATTCAGTTTCCTTCAAAAAATGTAATTTTTAAATGCTCTTTCTAAAAAATATTAAAATTCTCGTTGGTCCATAAAAAAATATTGTGTAAATAATCCATGCCTGTTCGTCCTAAAATATTCTTGAAAAAATCACGCCTGTGAGTCCTTGAAAAAATATTCCATGATTTTTTTTATAATGACAGTCTTTAAAAATCGGTCTAAAAAGTCAGCTTCCTTTAAAAATTTTAATTTTTTAATTTTTTCGTTTTTTTATTATTTTTTTTATAAATAAATTTTATTTAAATTAAATGAAATAAATATTTAATGAATTACAATAATGACAATGAAATGAAGTTCAAATTTGTACTAAACTATTTGGCTGGTGGCATTTCTCCGTTGTCTTCATGGATAGGCACGATTTCGGGTCTTACAATGGGTGGGAGTTTGGGATCACGCGGCGGTATGGCCATGTTCACCGTAAAAGGAAAGCGCTGGAATTGAAAAAAAATAAAAAAAAACATAAATAACACAAAAAAATATCATTAAATGTTAAAGATAGGATAAAATACATTATTAATAAAATTTAAATATAGATTGTGATGTTTGCAAAAATCAACAAAATATTTAAATACCAAAATTTTAAGGACTTTTCTATATTTATATTAAAATAAAAAAATTTAAAACTTACTCCTCCAGGTGCCAAGGGTGATCCATGTTCCAGCTGAGGCTTGCTCTCAACTTGGGGTAAAATAAAAATTACCGACAAAATGGCAATGAGAACAAGCAGAAATGAGCGCGAAATGCTTAAGAAGGGCATAATAAATAAAACAGTAGATTTTTACAAAAAGATCTTGCAACTCTTGTTCGAAGCGAGAAATGTGGACTGTATTGCAGAAGGTCTGCTGTAAGAACTTTTATATTGAAAAGACAACAAAAAGCAAAATCTTGCATTTAATCAAAGAAATTCATTACTTGATTTTCCCGCTCCAATTCTTGCCAACGACATGGTGACACATATTGAGTAAATACGAACAACAGCAACAACAACAACGAAAACACATTGACATTTATTTAAATAAACATTGATGTTATTAATAAAACTTTCAGTTCACCAGGTGTGTTTGAGTTGAGTGAAGGTATTTGGATCTTTTGAAATTGCAAAAAAAAAACAATATATGGGCCGGAAATTTGTCTTTCAATTGGTTCCCTCTTTTTTTGTTGTCACTCTTTATTATTGATTGCCTGCGATAACGTCAGACTGAGAGTGAAAGCAAGCTGCACTTGACAGGAGAATGGGAATTCTTGCATTACCCCACTCCAGTTAAAGCAATACTCTCTCTCTCTTTCTCCCTCTCACCATCATACTCATACTCCCTCACTTGATAACTGACTGTTGCGGGAATGTTCATGTCATTTCATTTGTTTACTAATATCTAGAAAGAGTGAAAAACAAAGCTATCGCCAGATGATAGTTATTAAATAGCAAAAGGGATTATTGTTTTGACATTGAAAACGCATTAATTGCGATTTAGTTTTATAATAAAAAAATATATATTATTTCAAAAATAGAATTCTAGAAGTGCTTTTGTGCTTATGTTAACATTAGATAAGGATTATTGAGAAATGATTCATAGAATTTTTATTGAAAACTATGTGCTCCAAAAGTTGTCATTCATGTTACTCAAATGGCAAGACCTAAAATAATTGCAAGATAATTTTTGTGGGGAAAAATTGCAAGATGTTGATATCTATAGTATTTTTATGTATCTTCTAATTAATTAACTCATTTATTTTAATATGAATGGAAATGATAAGATCGAATAATTTAAAAGAAAAATCCTTGAAGTTGTGTTATTCATTTATTTTTGTTATTAGCATATTTCTTTTAAAACTAACGCCATCTGTATTACAATCCAAACGTTTTATAAATCAGGAATGTAAGTCTTGAAAAAATCTCTGAACAATTTGCAAAAGATGAGGGTTATTTTAAGAAAAGTTCTTGACGTTGTGTTATTTTATATATTTATTATTTTTCATGTTAGAATACATCTGTCAAAGATAGCGCCATCTATGTTTCAATTTCAACTAGCAAACACATTGAACATTTTATCAAAGCGTTTTATAACTGCAATTTTCACACATCTCAGATTCAAGAAACTCAAAGGAGAAGACTCAGAATCATTTAAGGAACATTTCTGAAAAAAGAATCAAGATTTTGGTATTTTTTATTTATTTAATTTCAATTGAGATCGAATAAGCCGAAGAATCTTCAGCCAATTTTTTTTTTTTTTTCAGTAATTTTAAGAAATGTTCTTGAAGTTGTGGAATTGAAAGATTGGACACTTAGGATCATATTTTTGAGAGAACATTTCATTCATTTGAGACTTTTCGTTCATCTTTCGCACTATTTGACTCATTTTAGAAATGAACAACAAATATCAAATAAATGAAAACAACTTGTTGCCCATAATTTTGAATAATTCTGACAGGAAGCGGGCATAGCCTCAGGGCTGTATTTATGTAGTTTTACGAAGTTTATTGTACCATGGGTATATCTATGTTAAAACTAAGGTCACCTATATTTCAATTTCAATAGGCAAATGAGTGGAGCATTTGATCAAATCTTTAACATTATTGAATGAAAGCAAAAAATGTCGGACGGAAATAGCATCAAATTTTAGAATAAGTTTAGATTTGTTCGAATTGGTCAACTTTGGCACGAATTATGGCCAATGAAACCGTCACACGCTGCCGAATGCTGCTCTGCGGTATTTTGGCCCATTTCCGGCGAAGCGCTTGCTTGAGGTGATCGACACTTTGGTATTTTTTTAGTGCAAACCTTGCTTTCCAAAATACTCAAGACACAATAGTCCAACGGATTGGTATCCGCAGATTTTGGTGGTCATTGTACGCTGGAAATGAACCGAGGAACCTCATAATGTAACCATTCTTGGGTGGCGCATGCTGAGTGCGATCTTGTTTGGCCAAGGACTGCGGCCAAAATATGTGCATGCCCAAGGCTTTAATACACCCTCCAGAATATTTTCGCGATAATATTGGGCATTTATTCTGATGCAACGGTCGATTAATACGAGCGGAGAGTGACCATCGACTGTTATGGCGTTCCGACACCATCACCATGGCCGGCGCTTGAGTTCTGTTGGCCAACCGAAGGTGCACGTTTCCAGCTGACCTCTTTGGCAAGTAAACATAATCATTTTGTTTGTTTACAAACTGCTGGACAACGAATGTTTTCTCATCGGAGACAACCAAATTCGGCAGTTTACAACTTTCGGCCAAGCGAAACAATTTTTTAGCTCTTTTGAGTCTATTTTCTTTATGTTGCGGTGTAAGTTCTTGCACTTTATGGAATTTCAATGCCTTTACCCCGAGCTCATTTTTCAACTTTTTTGGCGAATGGAATATTGCGATATGTTCAGCTCACGAGCCATTGCGATGCGGGTTTCGTTCAAGTCGCTTCTTTACTTTTCGAACCATTTCTGCTGATTTTGCTATTTTCTTCCGTTCACTTCCTTGACGTCGGGCTACGCTATCAGTATCAGTATCACGGTAACGAGCGATGATACGAGACACAAAAGATTTATTCACATTTAAATGCTGGAGTGCTCTAATGATAGCCACTTGTGGTTTTCCAGCCAAATATAAAGAAATCACACTATCACGCTTGAAGGAACGCCACCCACTTTTTGATATTTTTAGAAATATTATCAATTTTTTTTATATATTTTTATGCCCACAAATATGCTTTATGCATTAAAAATAATTTTAGTATATCAAATATATGTGGCGTTAGAGGAAAAAAAATATTTAAAAACTTCTTTAATATACGAATTTGAATGTGACAAAAATAGTAGCATATTTGCCATCACATGATGGGCTGATATGTAAAATTTTTAAGAGTCTCCATCTAGTTTTGGTATTTTTACTTGCGTCTCGTTCCCGTGCTATTTTTTTGAAAAGAAGCGATTCAGACATTTCATAAAAATATGTATTATACGTTCATACTAATAAATCAAATATAGATGGCACTCCTTAAGCATCACACAAGGTCAATTAATAAGTAAGGCAAAATTAAGATAAAGCTATTAAAAATGGCATCAATCGCTCCCTCTAATGTCAATTTTAATTGGACATGCTTGAAAGTAGTAGCATATTTTTGCCATCTTTTAATTTGGTTGAGATTTTGAAGGACCGCCATCTAATTTTCATATTTCTACTCGTTTTCAGACAATACAATCTCTGACCAGCTTTTCTATAAAAATTAAGTTCACATACTAAGAAGAGCTATATTTTAGTGCTCTAAAATATGTATTATGCATCTTAAACAATAGTATAAGTCAATTGTAGATGGCGTTCTTTAAACGTCATATAAGGTAAATTATTAATGAACGGAAAAAATCACTTTCCGAAAAACAAAAGATTGCTGACCTTCAAGTTCCAGGAAAAGTTCTTTGATATCCGATGAAAATAGATAAAGTATACTCTACGCAAATATATTTTATTTACGATTCTCACAAATGACCTTGAAGTATACATGGCGAAATCCAATAATAATAATAATAATAATTGAATGAAGTAATAAAATATTCATTTATTGGCATAATGATGAGGAAAACACTTTCGGCCATTCCACTTCGAAATTTTAGCGGATATTTATGTTTCCTTTGCAAACAAATTCAATATTTTTTATTTTTCAATTAACACGTTCCATGATTAACAGCTTCTATAGAATTCAATACCTTGCAACATTTTCTGGGTAATTTTTGTTTAAATTTTTGTGGCTTTGTGTGTTATTGCAAAATATTTTGGATTGCCACCAACAAAAAAAAAGTTTTGTTTTTTTTTATGAGTCACATAGAAAAGAAATCAAAATTGGAATACAAATGCAGAAAGCACAATTAAAAATATTCTGCAATTTTTTTTCAAGGTCATGAGACACTCAGGAATTGTTGCTGGAATGGCTAATTCATACGTATGTATCTAGGAATAACTTTTTTTATTGGAGTTATCACGACCAAACTGAAAAGAAGAGATTGTTTCGGGGTGGACTTGGTGAGCTTAAGAATTGTCTCTATTTATAATTATATTTATATTTATAATTTATATTTATATTTATATTAATATTTAAATTTATATTTATATTTAAATTTATATTTACATTTATATTTATATTTCGGAACACTTTATATTTATATTTATATATATATATTTTTATTTATATTTATATAATATAATATATTAATATTTAAATTTTATTTATATTTATATTTTATTTATATTTATATTTCATTTATATTTATATATATATATATATTTTTATTTATATTTATATTTTATCTATATTTATATATATTTTTTATTTATATTTATATAATATATTTATATTTTATTTATATTTATATATATTTTTATTTATATTTATATAATATATTTATATTTATATATATTTATATTTATATTTTATTTATATTTATATATATATTTTTATTTATATTTATATAATATATTATATTTATATATATTTATATTTATATTTTATTTATATTTATATTTATATTTTATTTATATTTATATTTTATTTATATTTATATTTTATTTATATTTATATTTTATTTATATTTATATTTTATTTATATCTATATTTATATTTATTTATATTTAATTTATATTTATATTTATTTATATTTATATTTTATTTATATTTATATTTTATTTATATTTATATTTTATTTATATTTCTATTTATGTTTATATTTATATTTATATTTGTATTTATATTTATATTTCGGAACACTTTATAATTATATTTGTATTTATATTATATTTATATTTATATTTATATTTATATTATATTTATATTATATTTATATTATTATATTTATATTTATATTTATATTTATATTTATATTTATTTATTTATATTTATATTTATTATATTTATATTTATATTTATATTTATATTTATATTTATATTTATATTTATATTTATATTTATGTTTATGGTTATATTTATGTTTATGTTTATATTTATGTTATGTTTATGTTTATATTTATGTTTATGTTTATATTTATATTATATATATATATATTTATATTTATATTTATATTATATTTATATTATATTTATATTTATATTTATATTTATATTTATATTATATTTATATTTATGTTTATATTTATATTTATATTTGTATTTATTTATATTTGTATTTATTATTTATATTTATATTTATATTTATATTTATATTTATATTTATATTTATATTTATATTTATATTTATATTTATATTTATATTTATGTTTATGTTTATATTTATATTTATATTTGTATTATATTTATATTTATATTATATTTATATTTATATTTATATTTATATTTATATTTATATTTATATTTATATTTATATTATTTATGTTATATTTATATTTATATTTATATTTATATTTATATTTATATTTATATTTATATTTATATTTATATTTATATTTATATTTATATTTATATTTATATTTATATTTATATTTATATTTATATTTATATTTATATTTATATTTATATTTATGTTTATATTTATATTTATATTTGTATTTATATTTATATTTCGGAACACTTTATATTTATATTTATATTTGTATTTATATTTATATTTATATTTCTATTTATATTTATATTTTTATTTATATTTATATTTTTATTTATATTTATATTTTATTTATATTTATATCTATATTTATATTTATATTTATATTAATAATTACATTTATATTTATATTTACATTTATATTTATATTTATAATTATATTTATATTCATAAATATTTATATTTATAATTATAATTATATTTATACTTATATTTATGTTTATATTTTTATTTATATTTATGTTTATATTTTTATTTATATTTATATTTATAATTATATTTATATTTTATTTATATTTATGTTTATATTTATACTTATATGTATATGTATATTTATATTTATATTAATAATTATATTTATATTTATATGTATATTTATATTGATATTTATATTTATATTGATATTTATATTTATAGTTATATTTATATTTATATTTTTATTTATATTTATATTTCGGAACACTGTGCCCTTAGACCCCCTCTGATTGTCCACCTAATTTCTAAATCTGGGAATGGAAAACTGATAAAAAAATCTTGGTTTTGAATGTTCTCAGAGCTTTGAAATGAGAAGCTGATAGAAATCTTGTCAGTTGAGATTCAGGCTTCAGACGACAACAATAGTGGGTCGTAGTGGTGCAGGAAATATTCGAAAACGAAAAATTAACAAAAAAAATTGATAAAAAAAATTTTTGTTTTTCAAAATAATATTTGTTTCAAAAAAACAACAATTATTTTCCAACAAAAAAAAAAACATTCCGGTAAATAAAAATTTTAAATCAAAACAAAAAAATCCACTAATTTATTTCTTCTTATCATAGGTCAGAGATGCCGCAGATGATAACAGCCGCTGCGGCGATGGCATGCCTAAGCCGCCTGTTGATCTTTTGTTTTTTGATTTTTCAACTGACATCTGCTAATCCCATCGATGTAGGAAGTAATGCCAGCTCGCCAGCGATAGAATTTATTATTTTACACAACAATGATATGCATGCCCGCTTCGAGCAGACCAGTGCCAAAAGTGAGAAATGTACCGAGGAATTGGCCCAGGCCAATCGATGTTATGGCGGTTTTGCCCGAGTGGCCAATGTGTGAGTATGAGAACTGACTCATGTTCTTTGGGAAGACCTCTTCTTCGGGAAGATCTTCTATGGGACGATCACTGATCTTCTAGGTGAAGTACACCGATCTTCTAAGCAAAGATCACTGATCTTCTAAGGGAAGATCACAGATGGTCTAGATGAAGATCACCGATCTTCTAAGGGAAGATCACCGATATTCTGTGGGAAGATCACCGATCTTCTGTGGGAAGATCACCGATCTTCTGTGGGAAGATCACCGATCTTCTGTGGGAAGATCACTGAGCTTCTATAGGAAAATCCCTTATCTTCTATGGGAAGATCACAACTCTTCCATGAGAAGATCGCCAATCTTCTATGGGAAGGTCACTTATCTTCTATGGGAAGATCACGGATCTTCTTCTATGGGAAGGTCACGGATCTTCTTCTATGGGAAGATCACGGATCTTCTTCTATGGGAAGATCACGGATCTTCTTCTATGGGAAGATCCCCGATCTTCTTTGAAAAGATCACTGATATTCTATAGAGGAAGATCCCCGATCTTCTTTGAAAAGATCACCGATATTCTAGGGGAAGATCACCGATATTCTAGGGGAAGATCAAAGATATTCTGTGGGAAGATCACTGATCTTCTAGGGGAAGATTAGCGATCTTCTAGGAGAAGATGAGCGATCTTCTTGGTGAAGATCACTGATCATTTATGGGAAGATCACCGATTTTCTATGGGAAGATCACTGATCTTCTATGGGAAGATCTCTGATCTTCTTTGGGAAGATCACTGATATTCTATTGGGGAAGATCGTCGCTCTTCTAAGGGAAGATCAGCAATATTCTAGGGGAAGATCACCGATATTCTCTTTGAAGATCACAGATCTTCTGCGGGAAGAGCACTGATCTTCTAGCAGAAGATCACCGATCTTCTAGGGCCAGACCACAGATCTTCTAGGGGAAGATCTCTGATCTTACAGGGGATGATCACCGATCTTCTAGGGGAAGATCTCTGATCTTCTACAGGAAGATCACCGAACTTCTAGGGGAAGATCACTGATCTTCTAGAGAAAGATCACCGATCTTTTAGGGGAAATCACTGAACTTATATAGGAAGATCGCTGATCTGATTTTTTTATCAGAAGATTTCAGAACTTCTCAGGAAGATCCTTCTTCATTTCTTTGAAAATCCCTGATCTTCTCTTTAAAGATCCATGATAAAATGATTTGTTCTTTTCAGGGTCCGCAAACACCGCGAAGAATCCAAACAAACAGGTGTACCTGTCCTTTTCATGAATGCCGGTGATACATCGACGGGAACGCCATGGTTCTATCTGTTCAAGGATGATATTGCAACGGCTTTTTTGAATATCCTACAACCAGATGTCGCCGTGAGTCATTGTGAAAGATTTAGGCCCTACAACCCCTTACCATTTTACTTCTATTTCAGTCATTGGGTAATCATGAATTTGATGCAGGCATTGCCGGCGCTATACCGTTCCTCAACAAAGTCGAATTTCCAATTGTGGCTGCAAATTTGGATCTCTCTACCGCTCCGGAATTGAAGAAGGCAAAAAATCTCTCAAATTCCACAATTCTGGAGGTGAATGGTACGAAAATTGGGGTAGTGGGCTATATTACCCCAGATACCATGAAATTGACAAATTGTAAGCAGAGGTTGTTCACCGATGAAATTGAGGCAATAAAGTAAGGGGTATTCAGAAATTTGAGGAATTTCTCTTTATGGGTTTATCTTTTTCTTTCCAGCAAAGAATCGGCTGCATTGCGGAACCAAGGGGTGAATATTATTGTAGCTTTGGGGCACTCGGGCTATGATAAGGATCTGGAAATTGCCTCAATGTGTCCGGATGTGGATTTGGTCATTGGTGGCCATAGCAATACATTTTTGTTTAACGGCGACCAGCCGGATTTGGAGAGCATAGATGGTCCCTATCCCACGGTGGTGAAACAGGCGAATGGAAAACAGGTTCCAGTCGTTCAGGCCTATGCCTATAGCAAATACATGGGAAAATTATACGTTAAGGTATGGAAAGTGTTTGCCAGATTCCCGAGTCTCCAATGAGATCCCATTTTCCTCCCCTAGTTCGATGAAGATGGCAACCTATTGGATTTCCATGGCTCTCCCATACTTTTGGATGCCCAAATACCCCAAGACGAAGATGTATTGCAGCTGCTGGAGGTTTATCGTCCCAAGGTCAGGGAATTGGAGGAAGACACGGTGGGTCATACAAAAGTCTTTTTGGAGGGCAGTCGTAAAGTGTGTCGCCATCAAGAATGCAATCTGGGTAATTTGATTACCGATGCCATGGTCTATGCCAGAATTTTGGAAGATTTTGGTGGTGCCTATTGGACGGATGCTGCCATAGCTTTTATGCAGGGTGGAAGTGAGTAGAATGGGGATTTAAGCCTCAAACATTTGTTAGGTCTCACATAAGCCTATCCTTTCTGGGTTAAATATTTAAATTCCAACCCTTCACTTTCCAGGCATTCGCAGCTCAATAGAAAAACGTTCCGATGGCTCCATTTTGGCCATAGATGTCGCCAGTGTCCTGCCCTTCAAAAATGATTTGTATGTCAGCCAAATTACGGGCCGCTCACTCTTGGCGGTACTAGAACACTCCGCCTCAATGTATGAGACCGAATCGAAAGGTGGTTTCCTACAAATGTCCGGTATTCATACGACATATGACTACAATAATCCGGTGGGAAGCCGTGTCATTGCCACAGAAGTCCTGTGTGCCAATTGCGATGTTCCCACCTTTGAGCCCTTGGAGGAAGATCGACTTTATAATGTCATTGTTCCCTCGTATTTGGCAAATGGTGGTGATGGCTATACCTTTGTTGAGGAGAATGGACCCAAGCCACAGCGCATGCAGTTGAAAGATGCCGCAGCATTGAGACAATATTTGAAGAGACATGAATTCGTTTATCCTGTCGTAGAGGATCGTATTACTATCATTAAGAAAGCGACGGAAAATGGAAATGGAAATGTGTGAAGAATTTAGATTTTATTGTTAATAAAATATTTTTATTAAAAAAATATAGTTCGAACGTAGAACTCGTAAAGAGATCATAGGAATTCATAATAGATAACATTTTATGAGACCGGAGATATTCTCTAAGAACATCAGTAAAGATTAGAATCTTCCCATAGAAGATGTTTGATATTCCGATAGAAGATCAGTGATCTTTCAATAGATAATAGATCACACATCCAATAGTAGATGTTAGTGATAGAAGTGATAGAAAATCAGAAAATCCACCCACATAAGATCAGTGATCTTCACATATAAGATCGGGGTCTTTACATAGAATATCAATGATCTTCCCATAGAAGATCGGTGATCTTCCCATAAAAGTTCGGTGAGATTATATATAGAAGATCAGTAGTCTTCCCATCGAAGATCAGAGATCTCCACATAGAAGATCAGTGATTCTCCCATAGAAGATGTGTAATTTTAATATAGTAGATCTGTGATCTTCCCACATAAGTTCAGTGATCTTCTCGTAGAAAATCAAGGACCTTCCCATAAGAGATCAGTGATCCTCCCATAAAAGTTCGTTGATTTTCCCATAGAAGATCAGTGATCTTCCCATAGGAGATCGGTGATCTTTCCATAGGAGATCGGTGATCTTTCCATAGAAGATCAGTGATCCTCCCATAGAAGATCGGTGATCTTCCCATAGAAGTTCGGTGATTTTCCCATAGAAGATCTGTGATCTTCCCACATAAGATCAGTGATCTTTTCGTAGAAAATCGAGGACCTTCCAATAAGAGATCAGTGATCCTCCCATGGAAAATCAGTGATAGAAGATCAGTGATCTTCACACAGAATACCTGTAATCTTTTCACTGAAGATCGGTGGTCTTCCTCCCTGACCCTTCAGCTCGCCTATAGAGACTCGCCGGTCCCTTCAACTCGCCTATAGAGACTCGCCGGTCCCTTCAACTCGCCTATAGAGACTCGCCGGTCCCTTCAGCTCGCCTATGGAGACTCGCCGGTCCCTTCAGCTCGCCTATAGAGACTCGCCGGTCCCTTCAGCTCGCCTATAGAGACTCTCTGGCCCCATCAGCTCGTCTATAGAGACTCCCTGGCCCCATCAGCTCGTCTATAGAGACTCCCTGGCCCCATCAGCTCGTCTATAGAGACTCCCTGGCCCCATCAGCTCGTCTATAGAGACTCCCTGGCCCCATCAGCTCGTCTATAGAGACTGTCTGGCCCTACAGTTCGCCTATAGAGACTCTCTGGCCCTCCAGCTCCTCTATAGAGACTCTCTGGCCCTCCAGCTCCTCTATAGAGACTCTCTGGCCCTCCAGATCCTCTATAGAGACTCTCTGGCCCTCCAGCTCCTCTATAGAGACTCTCTGGCCCTCCAGCTCGCCTATAGAGACTCTCTGGCCCTTCAGCTCGTCTATAGAGACTACCTGGCCCTTCAGCTCATCGATAGAGACTCCCTAGCCCACCAGCTCTTCTATGGAGACTCCCTGGCCCTCTAGCTCGTCTATGGAGACTCTCTGGCCCTCCAGCTCGCCTATAGAGACTCGCTGGCCCTTCAGCTCGCCTATAGAGACTCGCTGGCCCTTCAGCTCGTCTATGGAGATTCCCAGGCCCTCCAGCTCGTCTATAGGGTCTCCCTGACACCTCAGCTCGCCTATAGAGAGCTCCTCTATAGAGACTCTCTGGCCCTCCAGCTCGTCTATAGAGACTTGCTGGCCCTCCAGCTCGTCTATAGAGACTTGCTGGCCCTACAGCTCGTCTATAGAGACTTGCTGGCCCTCCAGCTCGTCTATAGAGACTTGCTGGCCCTCCAGCTCGTCTATAGAGACTTGCTGGCCCTCCAGCTCGTCTATAGAGACTTGCTGGCCCTCCAGCTCGTCTATAGAGACTTGCTGGCCCTCCAGCTCGTCTATAGAGACTTGCTGGCCCTCCAGCTCGTCTATAGAGACTTGCTGGCCCTCCAGCTCGTCTATAGAGACTTGCTGGCCCTCCAGCTCGTCTATAGAGACTTGCTGGCCCTCCAGCTCGTCTATAGAGACTTGCTGGCCCTCCAGCTCGTCTATAGAGACTTGCTGGCCCTCCAGCTCGTCTATAGAGACTTGCTGGCCCTCCAGCTCGTCTATAGAGACTTGCTGGCCCTCCAGCTCGTCTATAGAGACTCCCTGGCCCTCCAGCTCGCCTATAGAGACTCCCTGGTCCTCCAGCTCGTCTATAGAGACTCACTGGCCCTCCAGCTCGTCTATAGAGACTCCTTGGGCTTTCAGCTCGTCTATGGAGACTCCCTTGCCCTCTAGCTCGTCTATGAAGACTCCCTGACCCCTCAGCTCGTCTATGGAGACTCCCTGACCCTCCAGCTTGCCTATGGAGACTTCTTGGCCCCTCAGCTCCTCTTTGCTCCAATTCTTCAACACATGTTCGGTCATCTGTGATCATATTTCATAATTAAATATTTGTTTTCAATTCTAACAATTATCAGTGTCACAACATTTCAAAAAAAAAATCCGAAGAGGGACGAGGGGCATATGTGAAACACGCACAAACAATAAGCAGAATTTAACAAGCCAAAGTGGATCTGTCAAGACGATTTAATAGCTTCTGCAATATCTTAATCATTTTCCATTGGCGTGTGGTTTATGCGAATGTTTCGGTTCGAATTAATTGTTAGTGGTCATGAAATATGAGATACCCGATGAAGATAGACTGATAAGCTGTCATCGCTGGGAATACAGATGGCTGAGTAAAAGGCATTTGAATGAAACTCTTTAGAAGCGGAACAAGTTCATGTTTATAGAGATGTTCAGATGTGTATTACACTATATTGTTTGTACAGTACATATATTCGGAAAGGGAGGGGACATGGTTTTTTTTTTTTGTCTGAAAATTAAATTGAGTTTTCCGTAGAGATTTCACGAAGGCAGCTTCTTATGAAAGAATTTCTTTAGATACTACTCGTTCCCTCAACTCTCCTTTCTGGACCTTCAGGACCCTCAACTCAACTGTGAAGACTTCCCTTTATCATCTACATAGAACTTATGTAGATGAGCTGAGGGATCAGTTCTTTTTACATAGACTACACTATTCGGGTAGTAACCTCTTCTTGATTTTTCTAGACTCTCTGGCAGCTCGTCTCGCCTTGTAGACTCCCTACCCCATCATAACTTCTCCATAAAATCCCTTTTTCTCTCCATCTCGTCTACATAACAACTGCGTTCGGTTATTTTTATTTAGAACCCACTGTTTCTAATGCATAAAGCAATCTTGACAAATAATCGACGAATAATTCCCAAAAAAATTGCCTTATCAAAAAAAAAAATAAAAAAAATGAGGCTGATGGTCTGGGTCAAGGTTCGAAAAGTCCATAAAATCTGTCATCTTTTAAATATTTGGGATTTTTTTCCTCATTTCAAAATTTTCAAAATTATTGACAACAGTTTGATTTAAGAAGCCGAACGAATCATAGGTCCCATAGAACTACAATCACCAGTTTGAGAATGAAAATAGTTTCTGTTCTACCCGGATTGGGTTTAATCCTGATTTGCCTCAATATCGGACAGCTTGAGGCCTTTCCAACCAAGGCTCCTGCCAAAGTGGTCACGGAATTTATTATTTTACACAACAATGATATGCACTCACGTTTCGAGCAGACCAGCGCCAATAGCGGCAAGTGTACGGAGGAATTGGCCAAGGCGAATAAATGTTATGGCGGTTTTGCAAGGGTGGCTCATTTGTAAGTTGGAAGGAGGTGTATATTGCTTCTGGAGAGTAAAATTAAAAAATAGTCTTGATTCTCAGAGTGAGATTCTCTTCGAATTTCAAAAATAATTTTTAAGGCTTCAAGAGCCTAAAACCACAAAAAATCTCCAAAAATTGTTCACCCCCTTCAATTTTAAAAGAAGGAAGATTTTACAGAAAAATCCCAGAAGGGGGTCCCGGGAGACCCCTTGGAGGAAATTTCGTTTTAATTCCACTATTATTCCTAAAACCATAAAAAATCTCCAAAAATGGTTCGCTCAAGTCCCTTCATTTTTAGAAGGAAGATTATAGAGACAAATCCCAGATGCGGGACCCTAGAGACCCTTTGGAGGAAATTTCGTTGTAATTTCCTTGTTTTCTCTCACTCATCATTTCAGAGTTCGCAAATATCGTGATGAAGCCAAGGAGGCCGGTGGCATGCCTGTGGTCTATTTAAATGCCGGTGACACTTCTGCGGGTACGGCTTGGTATTTCAGATTCAAGGATGAAATTGCAACGGCTTTCCTCAACAAATTGCTGCCAGATGCTGCGGTAAGTACTCTCACTCTCTCTCGCTCTCTTTCACTACTTCTCTATCTCCCTCTCAATCTCTCTATTCTCTTCAAACCTGCAAATAAATGCCTTTCTTTCTAGTCCCTGGGTAATCATGAATTTGACTCGGGTGTACCTGGTCTTTTGCCCTTCTTGGATAAGGTGGATTTCCCCATCGTGGCTGCCAATTTGGATCTCTCTAGCACGCCGAAGCTGAGGCACAGCAAGCATCTACAAAACTCCACGGTATTGGACATCAATGGTACAAAAGTGGGCGTTGTAGGTTACATTACTCCTGACACGTTGGATCTGACAATGACCAAGGAGGATATATTCACCGATGAAATTGAGGCAATCAAGTAAGTAATTTTCATAGATTTTTTGGGAGGAGGCTAAGAGGCTGCTGAGATGCGAAAGAAGTATACATAGGTGAACTGAAGGGCCAAGGGGTCTCCGTTGACGTCTGAGGGGTTAAAGAGTTTCTAACGACAATCTGGCAGGACAGAGAGCCTCTTTAAATGAGCTGAGTTGACCCTAGAAGGCTGCATATAAAAGCTAAGAGGCTCTCTACGAACGAACTGAAAAGCCAGGGAGTCTGCGTAGGGGAGATGAGGTGCCTGAGAGCATCTATAAATGAACTTAAGGATCAGATAGTCTTTCTGGGCGAACAAAACAGGCAGGCTCTCGGTCAGGGTCAGGTGAAGCTTTATTGTGAAACTGACTGTCGTGGAATCTACAAAGACTACTTGGTCCAAGGAAGTCTCCTTAAGTGAACTGAGAATCGAGGAATTTGCAAAGACTACTTGGTCCAAGGAAGTCTCCTTAAGTGTACTTGGTCAGAAAGTCTCTACTGGCTCAGAAGAAGATGATTCAAGAAATCTTAATAGGGTAGCTGAAGGGTCAATGAGTCTCTGTAGGTGGGCAAGAGGTCAGAGTGTCCCTATGGAGAAATCGGCGGGTCTTTTTTTTTTGGCGAATTTTGGGATCTGGGAGGCTATATGAAGGAGTGAGGATCAATCGAGTTAAGTGGGCGAGCTGGGCGGCTAGTGACTTCCTATAAACGAGCTGAGGGGTCAGCGAGTTTCTATAGATGAGCTGAAGGGTCGCCCACTCTTTATAGGTGAGCTGAGAGTTCATCGAGCTAAAGTGTCATCGGGCTGACCCCTCAGCGAGTCTCTATAGACGACCTATGGTCTCTATAGGTGAGTTGAGGAGTCAGCGAGTCTCTATAGGGGAAATGGGGACTTTCTATAGGTGAGCTTAGGGGTGGCGAGCTGAGGGGTCAGCGAGTCTCTAAAGTTGAGGTGGGGGCTTTCTATAGGTGAGCTGAGGGGTCAGCGAGTCTCTGCAGGTGAGCTGAGGTGTTTGCGGGTCTCTATAGGTGAGCTGAGGCGTCAGCGATTCTCTATAGCCGAGCTTAGGGGTCAGCGAGTGTCTATAGGCGAGCTGAGGGGTCAGCGATTCTCTGTAGCCGAGCTTAGGTGTCAACGAGTCTCTACAGGTGAACTGAGGTGTCAGCGGGTTTCTATAGGCGAGCTGAGGGCTCAGCGAGTCCCTATAGCTAAGGGCTCAGCGAGTCTCTAAAGTTGAGGTGGGGGCTTTCTATAGGTGAGCTGAGGGGTCAGCGAGTCTCTACAGGTGAGCTGAGGTGTTTGCGGGTCTCTATAGGTGAGCTGAGGCGTCAGCGAGTCTCTGTAGCTGAGGGCTCAGCGAGTCTCTATAGGTGAGCTGAAGGCTCAGCGAGTCTCTATAGGTGAGCTGAAGGCTCAGCGAGTCTCTATAGGCGAGCTGAGGGGTCAGCGAGTCTCTATAGGCGAGCTGAGGGGTCAGCGAGTCTCTATAGGCGAGCTGAGGGGTCAGCGAGTCTCTATAGGCGAGCTGAGGGGTCAGCGAGTCTCTATAGGCGAGCTGAGGGGTCAGCGAGTCTCTATAGGCGAGCTGAGGGGTCAGCGAGTCTCTACCGTTGAGCTGAGGTGTCAGCGGGTCTCTATAGGTGAGCTGAGGCGTCAGAGAGTCTCTATAGGTGAGCTGAGGCGTCAGAGAGTCTCTATAGGTGAGCTGAGGCGTCAGAGAGTCTCTACAGACGATCTATGGGATCAGCGGGACTCTAAGCGAGCAATCTCTATAGGTTAGCTGAGGGTTCACCCAGTCTCTATAGATCAGCACAGGGGGCAAGAATGTCTTCAAATGACATTTGAGGACCTGAGAGTCTCTATAGACGACCAGAGGAATCAAAGAGGCTCTACAGACGTCTCAACGAGCTTATATTACGATACCAATTCGAATTTTATATTTTCCCCCCCTCTAGTCGCGAAGCAGCCAACCTGAAAGCGCAAGGAGTCAACATCATTATTGCCCTGGGTCACTCTGGTTACGAAAAGGATCAGGAGATTGCTGCCAAATGTCAAGATGTGGATCTTGTGATTGGTGGTCATACCAATACCTTCCTCTACAACTCCGAACAACCGGATAGCGAAACCATCGATGGACCCTATCCAACATTGGTCAATCAGACCAATGGCAAACAGGTACCCGTGGTGCAAGCCTATGCCTATACCAAATATTTGGGGAAGTTACATGTTCAGGTATGACAAGGTACGAGCAAGGAGGTAAGGATAAAAAATCAGAAGAATTATTTTTTCTTTCCAGTTCGACAAGGAAGGTAATTTGATCAAGTTTGATGGCACACCCATTCTCCTGAACTCCGAGATACCCCGGGAGCCCGATGTCTTGGAACTGTTGGAGGTTTATCGTCCCGAAGTGGCCAAGTTGGAAAATAATGTTGTGGGTCACACCAAGGTCTTCATAGATGGTCGTGCTGAGATTTGCCATTCGAGGGAATGTAATTTGGGAAATCTCGTCACCGATGCCATGATACATGCCAGAGTGTTGGAGGATTTGGGTGGGACATTTTGGACCGATGCTGCGGTGGCTTTTGTCCAGGGAGGAGGTGGGTTTTGTTCCATTGAAAATAAAACTTATATTGATTTCGTTTCCCGATTTTCAAAGGCATGCGTAATGGCATTGAACCCCGTTCGGATGGCAGCATCACTGCCAAGGATGTCACCAGCGTCCTGTCGCACAACAACGACTTGTATGTATCGAAAATCAGCGGTAAAACTTTGCTCGCCGCCTTGGAACATTCTGCATCAATGGTAGATGCCAAGGAACCGAACGGGTTTCTCCAAATGTCTGGGGTGCATGTCACCTATGATTACAATAACCCGATAGGAAGTCGTGTAGTTTCAGCAGAGATACGTTGCGCCGCCTGTACCATCCCTGTGTACGAGCCATTGGATGAGGACAAGAATTACAATGTCATTGTCTCGCATTTCCTCCTCCATGGGGGTGATGGTTACACATTCTCCGAAGCGAATGGCAGTGAACCGCAACATATGAAAAACAAGGAAGTTGATGTCCTAACGGAATATCTGAAAAATCATGACTTGATCTATCCCGGTGTGGAGGATAGGATAAGCATTATTCCTAGAATAGTGGAGGATCGTCGCAAGAAGAGTGTTGAGAGTGTTTAGGGTGGAGTTCTGCGGGAAGAAGTGAATAAAGTTTCAAATAAGTATCGGTCGTTTTTTGTTTGGGGAAACGGATAGAAATTTTCTGGTCTATAGCCCAAGGATATTAAGCGTCAAGGAGTCTCAAGGGATGAGCAACCAAATTAAGTCAGTAAAGAACCAAGTTGACTGTGTATACGGACAAAAGTTCAAGAACTCTCCACAGATAAGATGAAGAGCCCGGAGTATCTATGGATGAGCTCGGGGGTCCTTGAGTTTATCTCTCCCTCTCAGCTCTATACAGCTGCTGGAGTCTCAATATAAAAGCTAAAGAATCATCGAGACTCTATAGGAGAGCAGGGTCTCTGTCGATCAACTGAGACTCCTGATCTTTGGTTCGTCTAAAGAGACTTGCCCCTCAGCCCTTCTATAAGTACTCCCAGGCCTTCAGTTGTTCTATGGAGACTCTCTAGCCCCTCAACTCTTTTAAAGATATTCCCCGACCCTTCAGCTTGACTTTGGAGACTCTATAAACTTTAGCTGACCTATGGAGACTTCCTGACCTTCAGCACGTCTATGGAGGCACCCTGGCCTTAAGCTGGTCGAGGCCTGCAACTCGTCTGTGAAGAATCTCCGGCCCTGCAGCTTGTCTATAGAGACTCACTGACCTTCAGCTGTTCTACGGAGAACTTCAGCTCATCTGTAAAGACTGTAAAGATGAGTCAGCTCATCTATGGAGACTCCCTGGTCTTAAGGTGGTCTACGGAAACTCTCTGGCCTTCAGTTTATCTATAAAGATTCCCCGACTCTTCAGCTCGTCACTCTGGTCTTCAGCTGGTCCATGGGAACACCCGGGCCTTCAGCTCGTCTACGGAAACTCCCTGGGCATTACAGAGACTCCCTGGCCCGTCAGCTCGTCTATAGAGACTCCCTGGCCCGTCAGCTCGTCTATAGAGACTCCCTGGCCCGTCAGCTCGTCTATAGAGACTCCCTGGCCCGTCAGCTCGTCTATAGAGACTTCCTGGCCTTCAGCTCGTCTATAGAGACTCACTGGCCTTCAGTTCGTCTATAGAGACTTCCTGGACTTCAGCTCGTCTATGGAGACTCCCTGGCTTTCAGCTCGTCTATGGAGACTCCCAGGCCTTCAGCTCGTCTATTGAGACTCCCTGGCCCGTCAGCTCGTCTATTGAGACTCCCTAGCCCTTTAGCTCGTCTATAGAGACTCCCTGGCCCTTTAGCTCGTCTATAGAGACTCCCTGACCCGTCAGTTCGTCTATGGAGACTCGCTGGCCTTCAGCTCGTCTATAGAGACTCGCTGGCCTTCAGCTCGTCTATGGAGACTCCCTGACCTTCAGCTCGTCTATAGAGACTCCCTGACCTTCAGCTCGCCTATGGAGACTCCCTGACCTTCAGCTCGTCTATGGAGACTCCCTGACCTTCAGCTCGTATATGGAGACTCCCTGACCTTCAGCTCGTCTATGGAGACTCCCTGACCTTCAGCTCGTCTATGGAGACTCCCTGACCTTCAGCTCGTCTATGGAGACTCCCTGACCTTCAGTTCGTCTATGGAGACTCCCTGACCTTCAGCTCGTCTATGGAGACTCCCTGACCTTCAGCTCGTCTATGGAGACTCCCTGACCTTCAGCTCGTCTATGGAGACTCCCTGACCTTCAGCTCGTCTATGGAGACTCCCTGACCTTCAGCTCGTCTATGGAGACTCCCTGACCTTCAGCTCGTCTATGGAGACTCCCTGACCTTCAGCTCGTCTATGGAGACTCCCTGACCTTCAGCTCGTCTATGGAGACTCCCTGACCTTCAGCTCGTCTATGGAGACTCCCTGACCTTCAGCTCGTCCATAGAGACTCCCGGGCCTTCAGCTCATCTATAGAGACTCCCTGACCTTCAGCTCGTCTGTGGAGACTCCCTGGCCTTCAGCTCGTCTATGGAGACTCCCTGACCTTCGGCTCGTCTATGGAGACTCCCTGGCCTTCAGCTCGTCTATAGAGACTCCCTGGCCTTCAGCTCGTCTATGGAGACTCCCTGGCCTTCAGCTCGTCTATGGAGACTCCCTGGCCTTCAGCTCGTCTATGGAGACTCCCTGGCCTTCAGCTCGTCTATGGAGACTCCCTGGCCTTCAGCTCGTCTATAGAGACTCCCTGGCCTTCAGCTCGTCTATAGAGACTCCCTGGCCTTCAGCTCGTCTATAGAGACTCCCTGGCCTTCAGCTCGTCTATGGAGACTCCCTGGCCTTCAGCTCGTCTATAGAGACTCCCTGGCCTTCAGCTCGTCTATGGAGACCCCCTGGCCTTCAGCTAGTCTATGGAGACTCCCTGGCCTTCAGCTCGTCTATGGAGACTCCCTGACCTTCAGCTCGTCTATGGAGACTCCCTGACCTTCAGTTCGTCCATAGAGACTCCCTGGCCTTCAGCTCGTCTATAGAGACTCCCTGGCCTTTCAGCTCGTCTATAGAGACTCCCTGACCCTTCCGCTCGTCTATAGAGACTCCCTGGCCTTCAGCTCGTCTATAGAGATTCCCTGGCCTTCAGCTCGTCTATGGAGACTCCCTGAACTTCAGCTCGTCTGTGGAGACTCCCTGGCCTTCAGCTCATCTATAGAGACTCCCTGGCCCTGCAGCTTGTCTATAGAGACTCTCTGGCCTTCTGCTCGTCTTTACAGACTACCTAGCCTTCAGCTCGTCTTTACAGACTCTCTGGCCTTCAGCTCGTCTATGGAGACTCCCTGGCCTTCAGCTCATCTATAGAGACTCCCTGGCCCTGCAGCTCGTCTGTGGAGACTCCCTGGCCCTGCAGCTCGTCTATGGAGACTCCCTGGCCTTCAGCTCGTCTATGGAGACTCCCTGGCCTTCAGCTCGTCTATGGAGACTCCCTGGCCTTCAGCTTGTCTATGGAGACTCCCTGGCCCTTCAGCTCGTCTATAGAGACTCCCTGGCCTTCAGCTCGTCTATAGAGACTCCCTGGCCTTCAGCTCGTCTATGGAGACTCCCTGGCCTTCAGCTCGTCTATGGAGACTCCCTGGCCTTCAGCTCGTCTATGAAGACTCCCTGGCGTTCAGCTCGTCTATGGAGACTCCCTGGCTTTCAGCTTGTCTATAAAGACTCCCCGGCCCCCCTGATCCTCTATGTAGACCACCTGGGCATCAGCCTGTCTTCATTCACTGACCATAGACTGTAGCAGCATTAGTCGCAATTATGTTTTACACTATTTACTTTCTATTTTGTATCTCGGTTTATTGTTATTGCTGTTGTTGTTGTTTTTTTTTATTGTTTTTAAGATGTTGTTATCAAATTTACCAGACATCGAACTCAAACATAACAACATGCCCTCAGGCAAGCCAATCTTTCTTTTCTACTCATTTCTCATTGTGGTTAGATAAGCAATAGCATCCACCTCCGAAGAAAAGAAAACAAAAACATTTCAAAATTGACAAATACTCAGAAGTGGAAGAATATCTCCGCCATCTGTGACTCTTGGCGAAGTTGCTATGCGGGATAGTGGGCGTTTTGTTGTGTCGACATTCAGTAAATTTTCATTGCACTGATGTATCGTTGTTGCTATTATTGTTGTTGTTGTCATTGCTTTTATAGTTTGTTGTTGTTGTGCATTTCAGTTTTCCAAATGTCACGTTGTCTGGCCTTTCAAGACGCATTTGTTAGCTCGATTGCTTCGCGTCGCGTCTTTAGTTGACATCGGTGCGAAAGATAGGCCAAACTTGAAGAACAACAAAGCACCCCCTCCCCCTCGACAACAAAAATTAATGCAAATGAACTACAACAATTCCATTTAGAGATATTTATCGGTCTCTTCACGCCTCTCAGGCTAGATATGGCCGAAGACGTGGTGGAGGAGGCTTGGTTGGAACTGGTATTGGAGAGCAAAACCCGAGCATCTGTTTGTTTTGCTCTGCTCAGTTTGATGGCCTTACTTGACACACACTTGTCGCCCCCAATCGGATAATAAATAAGGCAGATCTTAAGATAACTGTCCGGAATTCGTGTTACTAGTTGTTCTTGTTGTTGTTACAATTAACAAGTGTTTTTCCTAATAAATACAACAACACAATGGCACAATTTAAAAGTGAGTTCTCACTTGGTTGTTTGCGAACAGATGGAGATGAAGATTCAAGGTACACTCGAAGAAAAATGTGGAAAGTGGGAGGGTAAATTTGAAAGGACAGGGAGCCTCTATGGGCGTCTATAGACAAGCTGAGGTCCCAGGGAGTCTGTATATGCTAGCTGAGGCGCCAAGAAGTCTTTATAGAAGTGTGGAGGAACCAACGAGTCTCTATAGACGAGCTAAGGGGCCAGGGAGTCTCTATAGAAAAGGCGAGAAAACAAGAAAAAGAGAAGGTCCGGAGAATCTCTATAAATGAACTGAAAAGCCAGCAAGTCTGTAGAAGAGTTGGTGGGCCAGGGAGTCTCTATAGACGAGCTGGAGGGCCAGGGAGTCTCTATAGACGAGCTGGAGGGCCAGAGAGTCTCTATAGACAAGCTGAAGGGTCAGGGGGTCTCTATAGACAAGCTGAAGGGTCAGGGGGTCTCTATAGACAAGCTGAAGTGCCAGAGGGTCTCTATAGAAGAGCTGATGGGGCCAGGGAGTCTCTATAGACGAACTGAAGGCCCAGGGAGTCTCTATAGACGAGCTGAAGGCCCAGAGAGTCTCTATAGACGAGCTGAACGGCCAGGGCGTCTCTACTGACGAGCCGAATGGCCAGGGAGTCTCTATAGACGAGCTGAAGGGCCAGGGAGTCCCTATAGACGAGCTGATGGGGCCAGGGAGTCTCTTTAGACGAGCTGATGGGGCCAGGGAGTCTCTATAGACGAGCTGAAGGGCCAGGGAGTCTCTTAGAACGAGCTGAAGGCCCAGGGAGTCTCTTAGGACGACCTGAAGCCCCAGGGAGTCTCTAGAGACGAGCTGAAGGCCCAGGGAGTCTCTATAGACGAGCTGAAGGCCCAGGAAGTCTCCATAGACGAGCTGAAGGCCCAGGGAGTCTCCATAGACGAGCTGAAGGACCAGGGAGTCTCTATAGACGAGCTGAAGGACCAGGGAGTCTCTATAGACGAGCTGAAGGACCAGGGAGTCTCTATAGACAAACTGAAGGCCCAGGAAGTCTCTATAGACGAGCTGAAGGGTCAGGGAGTCTCCAAAGACAAGCTGATGGGCCAGGGAGTCTCTATAGACAAGCTGAAGGGCCAGGGATTCTCTATAGACGAGCTGAAGGCCCAGGGAGTCTCTATAGACGAGCTGAAGTCGCAGGGAGTCTTTATAAACGAGCTGAAGGCGCAGGGAGCCTCCATAGACAAGCTAAAGGCCAGGCAGTGTCCATAGACGAGCTGAAGGCCAGGGAGTCTCTATAGACGAGCTGACGGGCCAGGGAGTCTCTATAGACGAGCTGAAGGCGCAGGGAGTCTCTATAGACGAGCTGAAGGCGCAGGGAGTCTCTATAGACGAGCTGAAGGCGCAGGGAGTCTCTAAAAACGAGCTGAAAGCCAGGGAGTCTCTATAGACGAGCTGAAGGCGCAGGGAGTCTCTATAGACGAGCTGAAGGCGCAGGGAGTCTCTATAGACGAGCTGAAGGGCCATGGAGTCTCTATAGACGAGCTGAAGGGCCAGGGAGTCTCTATAGACGAGCTGAAGGCGCAGGGAGTCTCTATAGACGAGCTGAAGGCGCAGGGAGTCTCTATAAACGAGCTGAAGGCTGGGGGTATCTTCATAGACGAGCTGACAGGCCAGGGAGTCTCAATAGACAAGCTGAAGGCCAGGGAGTCTCCATAGACGAGTTGAAGGCCAGGGAGTCTCCATAGACGAGTTTAAGGCCAGGGAGTCTCTATAGACAAGCCGTCCCCATAGACAAGCTGAAGGACTGCGAGTATTTATAGTAAAGCTGAGGGGATAGGGAGTCTCTACTAAAGATCTGAGGGACCATGAGGTTTTATTCAAGATATGAGGGAAGGAGAGAAGAGCTTGGGAGGCAGTGAGTCTCTAGAAGAGGTGAGGAACCAAGCAGTTTATCTAGACCAGCTGAGTAGAAGATCTCTATAGCAGAGCTAAATGGCCAGCAAGTCTCTATGGAAGGGTTTCCCGGGGCAATCCCCTTGAGGTTCCCGGGGAATCCCCTTAAGGAACTCTGTGACTGAGTCTCTCTATATATACCTATTTTTCTCTTTCTATATTGATCTCTCTCTAAATATCTCTTTATTTCCCTCACCCCCATAGGCGAGCTGATAGCCCATAGAGTCCCTATAAAAGTACTGGCGGGCTAGTACGGAATTTCATTGAGAGACTCGGTGACTGAGTCTCTCTATATATTTCGCTATCTTTCTCTTTCTCTATCTTTTTTCTCTCTCTATCTTTTCTCTCTCTATCTTTCTCTCTGTAAATATCTCTATCTCCCTCACTCTCCATAGGCGAGCTGACGGCCCATAGAGTCCCTATAAAAGTACTGGCGGGCTAGTAAGGAATTCCCATGAGGGACCCGGTGACTGAGTCTCTCTATATATCTCTCTATCTTTCTCTCCCTCCATATTTTCTCTCTCTATCTTTTTTCTCTCTATCTTTTTCTCTCTCTTAATATCTCTCTATCTCCCTCACTCTCCATAGGCGAGCTGACGGCCCATAGAGTCCCTATAAAAAGTACTGGCGGGCTGGTATGTACCCAGGTGGCGAACGATTGAGTCCATAAACGAGCTGAAGGCCTACTGAGTCACTAGTGGACCCATCAGCCCCTATGGACCAGCTAATTGGTCAATTATTTCAGGGGGTCTCTGAAGAAGAACTGAAGGTCCAGTGAGTCTCCGTTGAAGATGTGGCGCGCTGGATGGCCTGTAGAGGTAAGGGGCATAGAGGCCATATAAAGCAGTGAGTCCTTATAGAGAAAACGAAAGTCAAGAATTCTTTGAAGAGAAGCGGAGAAGACAAGGAGATTATCTAGCCCTTGAATATTTAGCCAGTCCAAGGTCACTAAATTTACTGAGATATATCCGATTGTTGAGCTGAAAGCCATGAAGTCTTGTAGACGAAGCAAGGTCCAGGGAAATCATTTTTTAATTACTATGACCCAGAGAGAATCTGCAGTCAAGCTCCAACCCAGGTACCCTATAAAGTCGAGCTGCTGACACCTGAAGTCTGGTGTGTTTTTATCTATCTTTATTCAACCTCCCCTGACTGTGAACGCCAATTTACACTATGCACACACACCCTCACTCACTCACACACACACACATGCACTCTTTAGTTCATTCATCCATTGATTCCGATACTCACTCCACTCTACTCTACTCACTGAAATGCTCGTCGGTTTTCTTGTTTACGACTGCCGATGTATGGATGTTGTTGATCTAACTGACTGGCCGACTGGCTGGCTGGCTGGCTGTATTCCTGGCCAGCTATTTGTTTTCCGTCAGTTTGATTTGAGACATCGAACGCGTGCTATATCGAAATTGAAAGTTTTGTGTGTGAGTTACTGGGGCGATCGGAACTGAAGTAACGTGAATTCGGGAATACATTCTTTTTTTGTGACGAGAGGGTATTATTCTATTTTCTGTTACAATTTTAAGAGGTTCACAAAAAACATGATCATTAAGACGAAGACGGCATAGAAAAAAGAACCAGAAAATGCGCCCAGTGTCTGGTGTGTCTGGTTAATTTCATTCGTTAATTAGCGGCTAATTTGCAGAAGTGCAGAACGTTTTTTTTTCTCGGATTTTTTGTTTTGATGTTTTGTATAAAATATAGCACTTCAAAAATAATACAGAAAAAAAATCCCCGCTGAAAATTTAGAAAGTGCAGAAAAAAATCAAAAAACATATAAAAATATTGAAAAGTGTTCTGGCAATGGGAAAATTTTGAAAAACTGCAAAAAAAAATATTCCCAGATGGAGTTGCGTGTTCGTTGGAAGAAATGTGTGATTTTTGAAATATTCTTTTTTTTTTAAATCACATGTCACATGCAACAAAAATAATCACAAAACAACAACAAAAACAACAAAGCCTAATCTCACCGAAATATTAATATATAATCTAATATTAACGAACTGGCATTCTATTATCGGCTTTACTGCTGATTTATAATTTTATTTGATTCAAGGTTTTTTGTTTTTTTTTTTTTTTGGCTGAGGATAACCGATACTGTTGCTCAGGGGTGTGGAGGACTTATCGAAATCGAAATTTCAATGAATTTTGATAATGATCAAATTTCGAAAACAACAAAAAAAAAAAAACGGTTGCAAATAAATAAAAACGAGGTTTGGTAATTTATTGTTTTGGGGTGTGGAGTTAGTGGCTGAGCCTCAGAGAAATTTAAGAGGTACTAAAATTCAATATTTTTTTTTATAAAGAACAAGTGAAAAAGCTTCCGAACTTTGAATACCCTTCACCATTTGAAACAAATTTGGCAATGTTCGAAAAAAAATAAAATCCGTTAAAAATTCTGTTTAAATCTTAAAAACACCGAATGTGGCTATTATATTAGGATCCATACGACGACGTGGATCTGCATGAGCAACTTTGTCACACGCTATTGCAATATTCAAATGCGAAACTTGAAAAAAAAAATCTGTTTATAATGTGGAACTAAAATCATCAAAATATAGGGAGGTACCATGGAGGTTATAAAACCTGGACCTGCACAGACAATTTTCTGGCATAGGCTGTAGTATCCATTACGAACTGCAAATACCAAATTTGAAATAATTTCGGTTAATAAAGTGGCTAAAATCATCAAAATACCGAATATCGGGAGGTACCGTTATATGGGGGCTCCACGACGAGGTGGACCTGTACAGACAATTTTCTGTTATAGGCTGTAGTTTTTATTACGAACTTCAAATACCAAATTTGAAACAATTCTGGTGAAAAAATGTCCATAAATGCATTAAAATACCGAATATCGGGAGATACCGTTATATGGGGGCTATACGAAGACGTGGACCTGCACAGACAATTTTCTGGCATAGGCTGTAGTATCCATTACGAACTTCAAATACAAAATTTGAAACAATTCCGGTAAATAAAGTCGATAAAATCATTAAAATACCGAATATCGGGAGGAACCGTTATATGGAGGCTCTACGAAGACGTGGACCTGCACAGACAATTTTCTGTCATAGGCTGTAATATTTATTACGAACTTCAAATACAAAATTTAAAATAATTCCGGTAAATATAGTCGATAAAATCATCAAAATACCGAATATCGGGAGGAACCGTTATATGGAGGCTCTACGAAGACGTGGACCTGCACAGACAATTTTCTGGCATAGGCTGTAAATACCAAATTTGAAACAATTCCGGTAAATAATGTCGCTAAAATCATCAAAATACCGAATATCGGAATGTACCGTTATATGGAGGCTCTACGAAGACGTGGACCTGCACAGACAATTTTCTGTCTTAGGCTGTAACATCCATCTCGAACTTAAAATACCAAATTTGAAACTATTCCGGTGAATAATGTCACTAAAATCACCAAAATTCCGAATATCGGGAGGTACCGTTATATGGGGACTATACGAAGCCGTGGACCTACATGATCATTTCCTTCGGAAGCTAGAGTGATTTCCACAGACGGACGGACAGACAGACTCACAGACGGACATGGCTAAATCGACTTAGAATTTTATGCTGATCAAGAATATATAATGTTTCGATCGATACATAATTGTGATCTATAGAGCATTTGCAAAATAAGCCAAAAATCAATTTTTTATCCATTTTATCACCTCCCCCAACAATAGGCTTCTATTCTGACTCTGAGACTAAATCCATGAAAAATAACAGAGGATCGTACCATCATTGCGACCTTTATTAACATGCCACCAAATTAACATTGTCAGACGGACGGACGGACACACATAGCTCAGAGAAATTGAAAGATCGATAGATAACATCGTGGGACCAATATTTCGAGGGCTTTTAATACCTTACACCTAAAAAAATCCAAACGAGTCCAGGCCAAAATACCTTCTCATAGAAAAGATCAAAAGGACTTCTCATACTAAGCCAAAAACCATTCTCATAAAAAAAAACAAAAAATTTCTTCTCATGGAAGACCATGGAACACTAAAATGTCTTCTCATGGAGGGCTAAAATGTCTTCCCCTCTAATGCCCAGGGAGTCCAAATAAACCTCCAAGAGATTCTATATAGGAAACATGTCATCCAAAGGGTCAACATAGACGATTTTTTGTGTAAGAAGTTAATTTAGATATATGGCCCCTAGATTCAATGAAGACAGGGAATCCATTAAGGGACCTTCGTATTAACCCTCTAACCTCTAGAGAGTGAATAAATACCAACTAAAGTCCAGGGATTCTATATAAAGTCCAAGGGGATAATGTAGACGTTTTTTGTGTAAGATGTTGCTTTAGACCATCTATGACCCATAGATTAGCGAAAGACGAGCTAGATTCAATGAAGTCAACATAGACCGGCTGAAAGCCACAAAGTTCTCATAGAACCTCTGAGGAGGCAGGGAGTCTATCAAAGAGTCCTCGTATTCAAAATACAGTTTTTTCAATACTCAAATTTTGAAGCCTTTCCTACGTCATAATTTTTTTATAAACGGCGCCCAAATGTATTTTTTGCATAATTTTAGTATAGAAATCTTTTAGTTAAACATTATTTCCATATTCACCCGTTAAGTGTTCTTAGGAGAAAGACTATTTTTTTCAATACTCAAAATTGTAAGCCTTTTCTGCCTCGCAATTTTTTGTATAAATGGCGCCCAAATGTAATTTTTGCCTGTTTTAAGAATGGAAATCTTTTAGTCAATCATTATTTCCATATTCTTCCGTTAAGTGTTCTTAGGAGAGAGAGAGACAGTTTATTTATTTTTTTATTTTGAAGACTCGAATTTTGAAGCCTTTTCTACTTCGTATTTTTTTATAAATGGCGCCCAAATGTATTTTTTGCATAATTTGAGTACAGAAATCTTTTAGTTAAACATTATTTCCATATTCTCCCGTTAAGTGTTCTTAGGAGAAAGACTATTTTTTTCAATACTCAAAATTGTAAGCCTTTTCTGCCTCGCTATTTTTTGTATAAATGGCGCCCAAATGTAATTTTTGCCTATTTTAAGTATAGAAATCTTTCAGTTAATTATTATTTCCATCATTTAGGGGTGGAATCCAAATAGTCGGTGTGTAGGTAGTTTTTCTGAAAGAAGATTTCTCTATGGTTTATAGATTTCAAAAAAAACGACCTAGAGAATCCACACCGGCCAACTGAAGCATCTATAGGAACGAAGTATTAAGGCACCTTAGTCAATTAATGATCCATGAATTCTGTGAAGCAGAGCTAAAACTAAAGAAGTGCATATGAAACAGGTGAAGGCCACTAACTGTACAAAGACGAGTTGGAGGACCAGGATTTTGTGATGGCGCCCAACTAATTCTATTTTTATATTTCGTTTTTCATTTTATAGTTTTCAACCTCATTTGAACGCCATTTTTGTTTTGTGCCTTTAAACTGGTACCTTGTATGTGGAAGTGGCGCCCAACGATAGAATTTATTTACATATGGAATTCCTATTTCTGAAGCTAAGTTTTGATTTTATAGTTTTTGATTTCAAATTTTCATTTGGGTTCCATTTTGGATGAATGATTATTTCGCCATGGGCGCCATTTTTTAGTCAACAGAATGTGTTTTGTGCCTTCATGAAGTGGCGCCCAACGATAGGATTTATTTACATATTTTTTAGAAAGGATTTTTTCTAATTTGCAGTTTTTGTGTTACATTAAACTTCTCATTGAAATTCTTATTTCTGATGCTAAGCTTTGATTTTATAGTTTTTGGTTTCAAATTTTCATTTGGGCGCCATTTTTTTTTTCAGCTACGAAATAACACATAACAAGGGTATTTCTTTATATCTTTTTAAAGTTAACTCCTTAACTTTTTAAAGTAGGATCTGCATAACATGCTTTTTTAATAAATTTTAAATTTTTTATTTTGATAAATAATTTATTTTTTGAAAAAATTCCGACTTTTAATTAAGGTCCCAAATTTATTATATAAAATGGCGCCCAAATAATTTTTTGAAAGGAAATCATTCAGTATTCCGTATTATTCATTTTCTTTCTCACGATAAGTATTCTTAGGAAAGTGTTTTTATCATTTCAAGACTCAACTTGTCTAGCCTTTCAATGTCGTCGATTTCTTATCAAAAAGGGCGCTTCAGTAAAGTATTATTTTATATTCTGCAGCCTTTTTGGTGCCCAATTAAACATTTTTGGAGGACAACCCCAATTTTCTCTTTTTAGGCGGCCCAAATCGCTATTTCTCATAAAATAAAACACCAACGATAACTTTCATTGTAAGCCATAGGGTTAAATGAAGGCCAATATAACTTATCGATTGATTTTACCTAGGGGTTAACTATTTTTGTGGGAGGTGACGGCTATGGTTAATTTTTATGGTACATGAATTTAAAACATATGTTAATGCCCTTATCTAATGTAACAACTTCCACAGAACCTTAGTTTTTTGCAATGGAAATAATCTCTAATTAACTACCAACTATTGTAGGGCA